CTCCCCGCAGCTCACCCTTATATATATATACATATAAATATATTTGATTATGTATTTTCTGTATTATTACGCCCTGTATGAATTATTACGGTGACAAATTGGTTTCGAATACCTAAAACATTATTATCCACAAAGACTTTATTATTATTTTTCTTTGTGACTAAAAAAAAAAAAAAAAAAAACGGTCTTTGGTTTTATATACATATATATATATATATACTTAAAACAAATACTTTTCATCTGTTTTTTTTTTTTTTTTTTTTTTTTTTTTTTTTATACTGGACTATTTTTCTCTTCTATCTATTTCTTTTTAACTCTGGCTATGAATGTAAGTAACTGCAAATCTTTCCAAACTGAAAATTTTCTTTATATTTAAGTTATGAAAGTAAAAAAAAAAATTTTTTTTTTCTTTTTCATTTAAATTTTTCTTTTTATTTTTTTATTTAAAAAAAAAAAAAATAAATTCAGTTTCTTTATATGTAGATTTAATAAGAAAAGAAAAAAAAATTTTAAATTTAAATTATCTGCATATAAGAATAAAGAAACATTTTAAATCCTAAAAAAAAAATTCGATTTGTAAACGTTTTCGATTTAAAATTTTAGAAAAAATACACGCACACACATACACACACACACACACGCACACGCACACACACAAGTTTTCACAAAAAAAAAAAATATTTTTTTTTTTACATTTCGATCACGAAAAAAAATTTTTTTTCTTTTTTTTTTCTCCCTCTCATTAATTTATTCTTTCTCGTCTGGATAATTTTTTTTCTTTTTTCCCCAATTCAGGTATAATAAAAATACCTGGAATAAAAAACAATGGAAAAGTCTGGAAAGTTTTTATAAAAAAAAAAAAAAAAATTTAACATTAAACTCGTTACCCACGCGAAATATTTTTCAAATCGTATTAAACAAAATGACTTTTCCAATATTTATATATAAATTACTCGGATGAAAATTTCGTGAGTAAAACTATTAGTTTATTATTATTATTATTATTATTATTATTATTATTATTATTATTATTTATAAATATTTATTTATTTTATTGAAGTAAAAATAATACTAAATAATAATAATCATAATCATAATCATTATCATTAAAACAAAACAAAATCTTATCTTTTTTTCATTGCATCAAACGTTTCTTTATAAATATTAATGACCGTTATTCATATTTTTTTTTTTAAAATAATAAATTTTATATTATAAAAAAACCGTTAATAAGTTAATAATTTGAAAAGTGTTTGTCTCTTCCTTTTTAAAATTGTTCATTCATTTTTTTAAAAAAAATTATTTAAATATTTAAAATGATTTTTATAAACAAAATAATTTTTAAACAAATGAAATTTATAGGAAGGAAATCGAAATGAAATTATTGTGATACGTTTTCGCCCCGAATTAGTAGATGTAATCTTTCTCTCTCATTTTTTTTTTTTTTTTATATCGTCCATCATCATCATCATCATCATCATTTAAATATTTTACTTTTATTAATCATCCCTTAAGGTAGAGCTTTAATCTTTTTTTTTACGGTGTTGTGTTGTGTGTGTGCGTGTGCATTTGCACTCATAAATTCGGTATTTATTTTATTATTTTTATTATTATTATTATTATTATCATCGTTTATGATGAATATTAGTGCGTGGGAAAAATTTTCTTTTTGATTTTTTCACACGGTCGTCCTTCATATCCGTTTTCTCTCATCATTTTTCATTAAAATAATGTCACGATTTTCATTATTAAATACAGGAGATAAGAGGTAATTTAAAAAAAAAAAATCTTTCTTTATTTTATTGGAAATGTAATCATTATTATTATTATTATTATTATTATTATTATTATTATTATTATTATTATTATTATTGGTTGTCACCTTAAAAAAGTGAACACGTAACGATTAAATGAGTTTCGAAAAGAAAAAAAAAATATTGAATTCGTAATAATTTTTAATGATGCTGACGTAAAAACTTTTTTTTTTTTTAACATCGATCTGTTTATTTCCGGTTTAAAAAAATATTTAAAAAAAAAAAAAAATCAATCAATATTGTTTTTATCGATCGATTCCAATACGAAATTTGAATTTTTCGCGGGGTGCAAAAAAAAAAAACGGTTTTCTTAAAAAAGAAAAAATTTCCAAACGAAATTACAAAACGTTCCGAGTTCATTATTATTATTATTATTATTACTAAAAGTTTTCTTTTTTTTTTTTTTTAAATTTCCTTAACGGAATGAATCTTTTAAACATTAACGTGGCTGTAGAAAAAAAAAAAAAAAAGAAAAAAACGATGAAAAATTTATTTATAAGATCTACCCCACCCGTACGTTGTGTTGATTTGCATGAAAATGCGCGTCATTATTTATTATGTTATTATTTATGTTTTTTAGATCGAAACGCCGGCGGAATAAAAAAAAAAAAAAAAAATTTTTTTTTATTTATTTAAAAACCTTAGTAATAATAATAATAATAATAATAATAATAGTTTTGAATCGGAATAAATGAGAGAAAAAAAAGAGAGAGGGAGAGATATAGAGAGAGAAAGAAAAAGAGGGGAATTTTCTTTTTTTTTTCCGGAAAAATAAAAAAAAAATTAAAATAATAATTTTTAAACGTACGCAGCGTAAATATGTGTGCTAGTGCGAGTGCGTGAGTGCGTACGTGCGTGCGTGTTTTAAGGTTTAAATAATGGGGGGGGGAAAAAAAAAGAAAAAGAAAAACCGTTTTTTAAAGATATTTGTATTTCAAAAGTGTAAAATAAACTATCGATTTCGATACAAAACCTATTGTGTATGCCGCGTACGATATTTTCACCGTCAAAATTGAAGTTTTTCACACGAGAAACCCCCCCCCCTTCTCTCCCCTCTTCCTTCTCCCCCCGAAAAAAAAAACTAAAAAAAAACTGAAAAAAAAAACAAGATGTCAACGTCACAATTTTTTTAAGTTGAAAATTATTTTCAATATTATTATTATTATTATTTTTTACACGAGTTTAACACAAATCATATTGTGAATTTTCCGATTTTTTCCTTTTTTTTTGTAAACACGATTACTTTCGTAAAAAAAAAAAAAAAAATCAATTAGGAAAATTCTAGAAAGACGTCATAGAACAACAAAACGATTCGCTTATTAAAAAAAAATATAAAATTTTCAGTATAGTGATAATAATAATAACAATAATAATAATTAACAATTTGAAATTTTTCATACAAATTTTCATTTCTTTTTTTGTTTTCTTTTTTATTTTTTTCGGTGTCGACGCGTTACACGATAATAATAATAACAGTTTTTTTTTTTTTTAAATTAAAATTATAGTTTATTAAAAAATAATAATAATAATAATAATAATAATAATAATAATAATAATAATAATAATAATAATAATAATAATAATAATTTTTTTTTACCATCTCACGAAAAAATTTCGTCGCTGACGTGTTAAAACTAAACCACCAACGGTTTATATAAGATTTAAAACCGGGAAAATTTTTGTTTTTTTTCCCCCGCTTTCAACCGTAAAAAATTTAACAAAAAAAAAAAGGAAAGGCAACAACCGTAAAAAAACGTTTTCTCCTGCCACGTTCATTAAAAAAAAAAAAAAAGTATTCAAGTTTCAACTCGTCTAATTAAACTCATCGTAAGTTTATTATTACTCGCGTAAAATAAATTTGATTCCATTGATTATAACCTATAAAACGACTCGCCATTTTTTTTTTGGGGGGGGTCGGTGGTGGGGGTGGCGGAGGGGAAGAGAAAAAATTTTTTCATTCGATTTAAATTTTTTTTTTTTTTTTTTTAAACATGTAGGTTGATAGTCAATAAGTTTTGTTTTCTGTGCCAGTTTTCCTTGTCTTCTAATCTGTTATATTTTTAAATTTACTTCCCCTCACCTCCCCCCCCCGAAAAAGAAAAGGAAAAATTTACCTTTAATTCGAAATATACGTAAGATTATTAACATGCGATTGAACTTAAATTTAAACCGAAATCATTTTGACTAAATAGTTTAGATAAAAATCGAAGGGGAATTTTTTAAATTGGTTTTTCTTTTTAAAAAAAAAAAAAAAAAAACAAAAAAAGAAAAGAAAAGAAAATTTTTTTATCCGAAACTTGAATTGGAAAAGTATTTATAATGTATTGCATGATATGTCCAAAAAATATCGATTTTACTTTTACCGCGTATAACCTTGTGAATTTTCATACGATGACAGGGTCGGAGGTAAAATTTTCCGGAAAATTCCGATCGTTCGTTCGTTCGTTCGTTTTCCCCCCTTCCTCTTC